TTTTTTTTTTTTTTTTTTAAGTGTTGGGAGGCTGGGCCTGGGCAGGGGGTGGGACCGGTCATGGCAGCCATGGGGGCTTCTGTTTCAACTCCCCCCACATAGGGAGAGGCACAGCTGGAGGAGCTGCAGGAGAGCCTTCAACTGCCTAGATGTGCCTGCCTCTGCCCGCCCCATCTGAATCTCCAAATCAGTGCCGAAACAGCATCAAAACACTGAAAGAGATTCGGCCGAATAAAAATGGAACACTGGATCCAAAACACCGAGATGAATAACTGTGCTCCAAAACAGCCAAATCCAAAACTGAAACAAAACATAGCTGTTTCGCACATCCCTGAAGAAAGATTCACATCCACTAAGATACACCGACTTGCAGAGCCTGCAAAACATCCAGTGAAACCCAGATCCTTGAATCTCAATGCTGTCTGGTGAAACAGCCTGCTACTACTCTCAGCTGTTCCATTCATTCAAGTAGCTGAGATCTGTGTCGTGGATCTAGAAAATCTGACCTGCTGATGGCTCACATAGGTGACCAGTCTTGGTCTCTACAATAGAATTTTTGTTCTGTAATATATAGGAAATTACACAACACACACAAAAATTAAAGGAAAATTAATGTTCAATAGTCAAGTACTCCGAAGTTAGGAATGCTACAGCCTTATGAAATCTTAATTTTGTCTCCTTTTGTCTATGTGTTAAGATACAGCCTTCAATTACATGATCATAATTTCTTTTTCCACAGGACTTCTGCTTTATTCAGTGCACAGGTTGGAGGCTGGGCACTGAATGGTGAGTTGAGTGCATCTTTTTTGTCATCACCATTCAGGAAAGATGTGACAGCTAAGAGTGAGGAGCAGAGCTACTGCATCTGTCACAGTTCACTGACCTGTCACTATGTCTAACTTAATACTGATGTGGATGTCTTGGAACTACCATAGCCTTAGGGCTACAGTAACTGTTGTCCAGCAGCTCTTCCACAACTTTGTGGTTCTGAGGAGACATTTCTTACCTCTGATGTCTCAGTTTCCTCTCCTGCAGATCCTCCCACATAGTTCATATTTACAAAACAGTACATAGCTGCTTCACCTGCAGGCAGAGGTTTTCAAACATTCTAATTTTTCCCCTAATAAACTTACTGCAGGAAAAGAAAGTTGCAAGCAGCGCCAAGGTCTTTTCCCTTCCTAACTTTTCAGTTAATAGTACACGTGAATTTAAAGACTAAGAGGTCTCCGAGTTCAGCCTGAAGTCTAGCATTATGCAGGATTGTTTGGGCATAAGTGTCTTCCTCAACTATAGAAGTAGGGGAAAATATACGAGCAAGAGGAAGAGTCTGGCTACTAAGGTGCATGGACAGGAAGAAAGCTGAAATGTGTTTAGTGTATCTTTATCAATTCCTTAGCAGTTTTAAAGGCGATGTATTTGCTTTTTAGTATATTTTATTTTTTCATGTGAAATTTGGAATGTTCTTTTTAAAAGCAGGCATGCCATGCAACTATAAACCTGTTCGAACAGAGTAGAACGTTGAATTATAGATGTTCAATTATCGAGAAATGACTGTACAGTAATTATGCAGATTTTTTGGCTGTGTCTGGCTAATCATGGCTGCCAACCAGTAGGACTTAAAGAAATAGCACACAATGAATATTGTGATCAGGTAGATCAGCTCTTGTCTGTCAGTTTGTGCAAGGAGTTTTGTATACATGAAAGATACTTGTGTGTGTATGTATGTGTTAGTAGTTTCACATGATGTCTATTCTCTGATTGGCTGAGGCAATTCCATTTCACTGTTGCCAGAAAAAAGACTTCATAATGGAAATGTCAAAATTGTCTTAAATGTTCTGTAGTACCACCATTATTAAACTGAAAACCTGCTCCTACTGCATGGATACAGTTATTTCTTTTTCTATATTTCAGTGAATGAATAAATACATCTTTCCTTTTCCCCCAGAAGAGATAGGTTTACTAGTACACTATAAATCATTCTCAGGGAAATCTACTATTATCTGAAGCCTAGTATTGTGTGAAGGAATGCTAAAGGGCTGTATATGTTGCTGCATGCTTTTGCAACAATTATGACACATATTTGAATATAAAGATTACAAAAACAGTCAGTAAATATATGAACATTTATTAAAGTCAGTAAAATGCAATTAAAAGACTGCGGTATTTCACTTTCTAGTAATAAATATCTGATTTGGGGTGTTGGACAGAGCAGGTGGGCAGGTGGGGTCTCCATTGAGACTGGGACAGGACCCCTATGGGCAGAGTGTGCTCAGCTGAGTGGATGGGCAGGGACCATGGGTGG